CGAGCATGCTGGCATGACCGCTGAGGCACACCTGCACGGGGGAAACCTCCACCCGCACCACTCCTGCTAAACACGTGAAAATAGATTTAAGAGCGACAGGACTCAGTGCTGCTAAGTTTTTGATTTTATTTATTTTCTGCTTTGTTTTACTTGCATCTATTTGAAAGAGTGTAAACACAAAACAATTATTTTATTTTAAATGCTGGAATGTGCAGAAAATAGGTCTAAATGTTAAACACATTTCTTCAAGTCAAAGACAGCTGCATACGATTTAATTTTTCCTTGATGCATAAAGTTAAAGATTCAAACTAATAAGACACGTTTTAAGAGACTTTTTCATTAGATTCAGTTTTATATGATGGATCATGCAGAAAAAATAGAATTGGGCTGAAAGGTCGCTTTATTACCTATTCAGGTTGTGTATCGTGTTTTTTAAAAGTAACTAAGTAACTAATTACTTTTGAAAATAAGTAATCAGTAGAGTAATGGGATTACTTTTTTGGAGACGTAATCAGGAATTAGTTAATGGTCACTTTTCCAAGTAACTTGACCAACACTGTTGACGGTTACCTTTAAGGAAGTGCGAGACGTCCTCCAGCTGGGGGATGTTGTCCTCGCTGTATTTGCAGTACTTGGTCAGCAGTGGGAGGTTCTTCAGGTACTCCCTGCAGGCGTGGCTCGGGTACAGCTTGTGGAGCTCCCTGAACACCACGCCCCAGGTACGCACCTCCTCTGCAGTGTAGTCCACACGAGGGATGGGCTCACCGCTGTGAGAGACGGAGTTAAAGGATGAAAGCCCTTCTAGGTTTTTATTATTAACTTCATTAATGAAAACATCCATAAGAGGAACTCACTGTTTGTAGTTTACAGCTAAATCAGAAAAATATTGTCTTCGTTTTCTGTATATGTTGTCCTTAAATCCCTGCAGGAACAGCAAAACCTCAGTCGGTTACCGAGTTCACGCTACATTTCAGAGCTCTGTCCGATGACGCACATACCGGATGATCTGCATCAAGTTCAGAGCCGTACATCAAAACCCTGTTTGCACACAGGTCCAAGTCTGAGATCTTCTTGGGGAACCACGGCACACCGGGCACATCTGAAACACAGTCAAGACACACGCAGACCTGTGAAATAACTCATTCCTATCACAGCTACTGTTTAGTCAAAGTACGACAAGGTGTACCGTCCTCGGGTAGAGCGGAGGCGTCGAACGGCGAGATCTCCACGATGTCCGTGTGCTTCCTGAGCAGCTCGGTGAGCTCCTTGAACTGCTCGTGGTCGGTGTCGCAGTCCACAAAGATCTCAAAGTCTGAATTCCTTCGTTTGGACTTCCGGGACTCGATGTGGATGAGGTTGACGTGTTTTTCCTGCGCACACAAACACACACACACACACACACCCAAAGAAGATGCTGTAAAAGCTTCTGATCACATTCATTCCTGGCCAGTCACATGCATCCTCAGAAAACACCATATCTGTGTCAACATAAAGAAAATGAAAGCTCACCTGGAAAAGTTTCAGTGCCTTTATAAGACCACCGACTTCGTTTTTCAGAGTGAATATGATGGTTGTCGAGCCTCTCCCAAAGCTGCTGGAGACGGTCCTGTTGTCCAAAGACCTTCCTCTGCGAAGCTCCTTTCCTTCTGACTTCCTGGCGTACATGCTTCTCTGGATTTCAGCGATACAAATATGAAATTGATAGTGATGGTTCAGTAAGCTTGCTTTGGCACTGGCTGCATCAGAGAGTCGTCTGGTAGGAGTACGACGTGAAGGTCGTGACAGGATGAGTCTCCGGCTGTTCTGTCACTCTGCACGGCGGCTGCTGCCTTTATGAAGCTGCAGCAGAGGGGAGGGCGCTCCAGAGATGGATGTTCATCAGGAGGAAGATCAGCATCACGCCATATACATCACAACACACGACGCCTTGACACGTCACCACCTGTTCACTAATTGTTGAGTCAACGTGACGATAAAGTGTTACTGTAACCGTCCTTTACAAAACGCATGAACTTTACAGTAACTGTGAACGACTTACTGTTTGCTTCATGGCAACCGGTTTATAGTACTGTGTACTGTTTGTGTACAATGAATTCAATATTTACTGTATTTATGACACATTTTAATTGACACTGTTTCAGGATTAACATCCCTTATTAGTTATAACAATAGAAGCGTATGACTGTAATATAAAGTCCCAGGTTATACATATTATATTTTCAGTACCTGAAACACTCACATGTATCTAAATCAAACTGATAACATAGTTACAGTTTGAATGGAGAGAGAACAAATTATGTTGCAAGTATTTGAATGAATGAGTATCCAACATGTTAACGTTAAAGGCTGCATCATAGAGGACAGCAAACTTTGCTGTCTTTCACTGAACTCACAGAAATCACTTTGAGCTGCAGCTGTTGGTTCCTGCTCTTCTCTCTTCTGTTACAAATGAAGACAGTTGAACCCTAAATGCTGTAAACGTGGGAATGAAGAGATTCCTGTTTGTCTGTTTGCTGACTGTGTTTTTATGCGGTGATTAGCCACGGGACAAAATAAAAGAATTATTTATAAGACAGAAAACACACAAAATCTTTTCAAGTAACAAATACTTTAAAGAGCAGAGTCTTATCAGTATCCTGACCTCCTGTCCTGGACTCTAGTTACACAGTACTCTCGGGTGCAGACAGCTGAAAGGTGAACCTGGAGACGCTGTTGAGTCATTTTAAAGAAACTTCTGGTTATGAATGCAGAAATTATATTTATGGTTCTATTTTTTGAAAGTTTACCATCATTTTTTGTTCAGTTCTGTTTTAATATTAATTGTTTTTACATATTCAGCAGGTTATTTTTGATCTTTCGGGAGGTAAATGGACTGATTCTTATACAGCACTTCTCTACTCTCCCAGAGTACTCAGAGCGCTCTATACAACATGTCACATTCACCTTTTTCTATGATTTTAAGTGCTTACTGACATTCACACACATCCATACTCTGATGGGTCAGACAGCAACTTAGGGTTAGTAGCCCAAAGGCATGCGGGCCAGGCGGGGGTCGAACTACCTCCTGAGCTACAGGGGTTCGTATACTCTAATACAGACAAGATCCCTAATAGTCACGTGTAACTACAGTGTAAGGAGGGGAAACAAACTATAAATCTGTATCAGTGTTTTATTTTACCCAGATAATAAGACTCGGAGCGACCAGTCAGTGTGAGCAGACACTGATAATAATAAGCAAAAGGACTGTAAAGCGAGCCGTCACAGCTTTTTATTGATAAGACTTCAAAACCTATCAACTGGATCTCGTGATCAGGAGTCATCGCTCAGGACATCACCTCTGTCAGAAAACAGAGGGCGGGTCTGAGTCACCTGTGGAACCGAAGCCTTAGTTATTCAAACTGAACCAAATTCTTCTTTATTTTTCTCCAACAAAGAGCAACTTCAGTTTTACCAGCGGACGTTTTGCACAGGTGGCATCTTATCGCAGCATCATGCTGGAGCTCCTGAGAGCGACACAAATGTTTGTAGAAGCCGTCAGCATGCCGAGGTGCTTGATTTGAAACACCTGAGTGAAATGATTTGGACAGGTGAGGGAATGCTTTTGGCAGAGCACTTTGTTTTACACAAAAAAACAAAGGTTACACTGTGAGTTAGAAGTTTCCACCAAAGGTTTCATCGCATGTTCGGTTGCATGTGGTCATAACCTCATACGGGGGGGTAGCTCACATTGGCCATGTAGTCCGTCTATAACGAGTAATTGTAGTTATAGCGAGAGACAGGAAGTCTCTATCTGCTTCTCTAATTTTGTCTAAAACTGCAGCCTGACTCCAGCAGGCTCCACATGAGGCCTGGCGTATTTAAACACATTTACGGCCGGACGTGACCCTCAGCAGCCCTCTGAGATGAACGTCACTGATGCGGGTTTGCTGCTAACTGCAGCCATGATTTTCTGGGCTGCAGATCTGAGTCTGATGCTGCTTCTTTGAAAAGCTTAATGAGAGTCAGACTCAGAGTGTGATCCATCTACTGTCTGTTTATGCGATTAGAGAGCCCAGGCCTTTGTGCAGCACTGTCTGCTGATGCTGTATGTGTTTCTGTGCAGGCTCGTTTTTTTACTGCTTTACCTTGTTACGCACTGATCTTCATTCACATGAATGAAATAATGCACATGAAATACAAATATAACTTCCAGCATGAATCCGAATGCAAAGCCGACTCTAACAATATCCCAAAATTACTCCAAAGATGCTAAGGCCCAGTAACGCTGCAGACCAGCACCTGAGGAATAAAGGAATAAAATAATCAGAGTGTGTAATTCAAGCGAAAACTAGTGAGAACTGTGAAGGCCTGAGAAGTGTACGGTTTTAGGACTGAGCCTGTATCAGTGCAGAGACACGAGTCCATAATTACACTGGCTGTGTGAAAGGTTTAGTCCAGCCAGCTCCAAACGTTTGGACCTTGACGTGTCTCGGACTGTTTGTCACTTTCATTTGGAAAGTCTGTAATTACTCCACATAACCAAGACACATGTTCCACCATAGACATTACTGCAGTTTAACTGAGGCTCAAATAGAGACAGGAAGAAGAAGAGCTTCACACAGAAGGAAGTCTCTCAGTTTGAAAAATGAGCCAATTATTTAGACAGTGTCCTCATTAATTCATCCATATGCTTATCAAATTTCAGAAATTCATCCATCATTTCTCTTCCACTTATCCGATTCAGGGTTGTGTGGGCGCTGGGGCCTATCCCAGCTACCACAGGGCGGGAGGCCTGGTACGTCCAGGACGGGTCGCCAGTCTGTCACAGGGCCTCCAGAAATTCATCAAAAGATGAATCTCCGCCTTATAACCCAGCTGTTTGTCTTGATGTCATAACGTCAATTACAAAGAAGTTGGGGCGTTTATAAAAGTACATAAAAACAGAATGCAAGTCACAACATATCAAATGTGTAAACTGAAAAAATGAATAAAAGTTTTAATAAAAAAGACTGAGTGTGAAGACAGCAGTCTCCCAAACATCTGGGAGCTCTCCCGTCCTCGGTGCTCATGCTCCAGATGTTCTGGGCCGCTGAAAGGTGAGGACTGGGCCGGGTGCGTTCACTCAGTTGAGTGGGTAAAGCGAACATGTTTGGGACGCGGCCCGCCTTAGGAGGCTGGAACAGGGCGTTTCCGCGCTGAAGGGGACGCGGCCCGTCTGGTTCCTGTCTCGGTCATATGTCGGGGCTCCTGGTGCTCGCAGCGGCGGTTCCACAGACAGAGTTCAGAGTTCGAGCAGCGCGTTGTCCGGGTCAGCTGAAGCCCCCCAGCAGCGGAGAGGATGCCGGCGGTGTCTAAAGGGGACGGGATGCGCGGACTGGCCGTGTTCATCTCCGACATCAGGAACTGTGAGTTTGTCTCCTTCACCCCGCAGCTAGGCACGGCTAGCCTCTGTACCGCGGGGACCTCAGGGAACCCGCCCGGGTGGGGGACTTCGAGCCCGGGGTCAGTTTCCCGCCCCTGCCGCCCTCGTTCTGGACACATTTACCCCGTTAAAGTGGGATAAACTCCCGCCCAGCGCTCAAGCTTCCCCGGCTAATCATCGCTAGCTGCTAGCTGCTAGCGTCACCGTGTCAAAGGGCGTGGGCCGCCGTGGGGAGATAACCAAACCGTCACTTTTTAACTGCGTGAGCTGCTTTATCAGGCCAACATGAGCGGCTCAGTGCCGCCTTAGCAGGTCGTAAAAGTCGGTGTGTAAAGTCTCCGGTCCACCGCCCCAGTTGGCGTTAGCTGGAATTAACGTTAATCGCAAAAAGTAACGCAAAACGGTAATCTGAGTACTCGCGAAAGAGCGAGAGGAGGCGGTGCTGCTCTCCAGGGGGGTTAGAGAAAACCAGCAGCGGGTTAAATAAAAGCTTGAAATGAGAGTGTGTCCGTGTTAGTGGGCAGGTGCACAGGAAAGGTGAGACGAGGCAGGTAGACAGTTCCCGTGTTTCTGTTTGCTGGTCGTGGGAACGAGTTACAGCTACAGTAACTGAACCAGCTGCTGTGTGACGGTACGGCTCTGCGGTACCTGCACGATGACCAGTCCAGTGGCTTTTGGCCTCTTTCAGCATCCTTACACTCTGTGACAACTCTGACCCCTGACCTTGACCCTGAAACACTAAAGTCAGGTGACTTTCACCCACGTGGTGCCTTACAGCCTTTTCCTCTGGTCCCCTGTGAGATTTTGATAGGAAGTATCTTTTATATTGTGTTTGTGTTATTGTTGGGTCCTTACCTACAGTATAAACCCAGAGATGGCTGTTGTTGTGAGGTGGTGCTGTATAAATAAAGCCGCTGTTGTAGGTGACGGGGTTGCAGAACTGCACGTTAGTGTTCTGGGTGAGAAAACAGGAACGCGGCCTCAGAGCTTCCTGTTGCTGCCCCGACACAAACCGTCCTGACTGATTTTATTCTGCAGCGTCCGGCTGCTGCTGCTGCTCTGCTGGTTTTGTTCATGCTGGCGTTTCAGGGTGACTTATTCTGAATCCACCACAGCAGCTTACTGTGATTCACAGTTCAAAATAAGCCTTCTGTATTTGATAGTGCAGTTGATTCAGGCCCTCTGTGTTCGCACAGGCTGTCAGTGAGTGCTCCCACATCCACTCTGCTCCCTTCACCTCTTATTATCCGGTCAATGTGAGATGTTGGCGAACGCTCATCAGGTTATAAATCACGTTCTTCACAACAAAGCACATGAAAAATGTTCCTACTGTCACAATCAGAGACTGTACATCAAGATGGATTTAGCTGAAAGGTCAATCTGACACAGAAGTGTCTTAAACCATCCAGCAGGGGGCGACTCCTGCGGTTGCAGAGAGAAGTCAGCTTGGATGGAAGTCTGTGAGAAAAAGAGGCTCCGGCTCAGCTGACCTGAGCTCAGTAAACACTGTGATGATGGTTTATGGTCTCAGCCGCTGGTTTCGGGGCTTACTGAACAAAGCGTGATGTTCGATTTGGAGGTTTTGGTCACAACAGAGCAAGAAAGGAGCAGGAAGCGGGGAGGATTAGCTCTGGGTGATCCTGCTGCGTCATCAGGTCTACGCTTCAAAAACAGGCGGCCTGAGGTTCCTGCTTCTGGAGATAATAAAGTAAAGATATGTCACTGCTTCATCAGGAAGCTCTTATGTTGTAGTGTGCGATTAAACCCGGACGCCACGTTCCTCAGCGGGGGCGGGTCCTTTAAAAAAGGCAGGATGTTGTATTCATGAGTGATCGCAGCTCTGTGCATGCTGAGTAACGCTGATCTGTCTGCAGGTAAAAGTAAAGAGGCCGAGATAAAGAGGATAAACAAGGAGCTGGCAAACATCCGCTCCAAATTTAAAGGTAGGTGATGGAGAAACGAGCTCGCCGAGTCACCTGACCTGCTTCCTGCTTCCTGTCCCGACTGCTTTGTGTTGTCCTGTGAAACCTCACTGACTCTCTGGTTGCTGCTGTTTCTCCTGTTGCCACCTGTTCCTCACTGCCTATAATTAGTCTGCTGCAGAGAGGAGGCGATATGCGGGCAGGGAGTGTCCACATAGCGCCTCCTCTCCGCCCTCTCCACCCGGCATTCAGGCCTTTCCACTGTGTCCACATGTCTCTGCAACTGTGCTCCTTATCCATGAAGTACTGAGGCTGGCGTAAAACAATCTTTCTTCAGTTTTATTTGATGATGACGTTTCCAAACACTGAATAAAAGCCCAGTCATGCAAAAATAAAGATTGTGTGTTTGATGTTGCACTGCTGCAGATCCTGAACCTCCCACTCTCACTGGGTTTGGATTATTTGACTAGATTTGAATCAGACACCTGCTTTCCCCTCAGAGCCTCAGCTGTTAAAATGCTGCTGTTTATCACATAGACATTAAAGTGTGCGTGCGTGCGTGCGTGCGTGTGTGTGTGTGCGTGTGTGTGTGCGTGCGTGTGTGTGCGTGCGTGTGTGTGCGTGTGTGTGCGTGCGTGCGTGTGTGCGTGCGTGCGTGTGTGCGTGTGTGTGTGCAGGAGACAAGGCGTTGGATGGCTACAGTAAAAAGAAGTATGTCTGCAAGCTGCTCTTCATCTTCCTTCTGGGCCACGACATCGACTTCGGGCACATGGAGGCCGTCAACCTCCTGAGCTCCAACAAGTACACGGAGAAGCAGATCGTGAGTGTCGGAGCCGCTCAGCCGCCATGTTTCAGGGTTATCACGTGCGAGAGCGTCAGGACCGCCCCCTCACGCCGCTCTGTGGTCTCTGTTTCTGGGTTGATAAACACATTTTATGTTTGTTCCAAATGTTTTTATTGCAGTGCCGCTCGTTTCCCTTTCGCGGCGTCCTGGTGGTTTTTTTTTTTTAAAACCTCTAATGAAGCAGGCAGTAATAACTGTGTAATAACAACTTTACCAACAGTGTTCTGGATGAGAGTGACGTGAATCGGCTCAAATCATTTCAGCTCCGAGAGACTAGATTTTATTTCCAGCTTTCCACCTGTCCCGTCTCTAAAAGCCCACACTCGCTGTGGTCGTATCTCTGGGTCAGACAGAGCTAGCTGCCTTTGACTTGAGCTCTCCGAGCGTCTCTGAGGGTCTGTGCTGAGATTCAGAGCTGTTGGCGGGCATCCTTCCTGCTGAGCGCTGGAGGCGGAGCTGCAGGCGCCATAGGCTATAAAGTCACTGTGTAGGACCTCACCAGACTCCACTTAAAGTGTGACAGAAGGATGTTAATTTTGCTGCAAACGTAAATTGTTATCTCTGCGACCCTGACGTGGGGTAGCTGTCGTTAATCAGCTTCTGATCAGTTTTATTTCATTGATCAGTTTTTTGTTTCCTTAAAGGAAACGAGTGAGCGTGTGGAGGCGGATCATTGTCACAGCACGGCGTCCTCCAAAGCCTCAACGACTGTTCAGTTACACGAGTAATCCAGTAAAAATACTTTAAGCACGAGACTAACATGAGTTTGATAAATGATGACGATCGTCAGGGCAGCCGATTCGAGAGTCGCTGGGATCAGCTGATGTTTTGGTAACAGAGGCCACGCCTCCAGCTGCTCCGTGTGGGTGGTGCTGACGCTCCGGCTCTGCTGTGTGTGTTTGTGGATTTCCAGAGTCAGAGAGAGACAGAATATCCCGTCACGTGACCTTTGCCGTGTCTCCTCCTTTCAGGGTTACCTCTTCATCTCAGTGCTGGTCAACTCCAACAGCGACCTGATCCGCCTCATCAACAACGGCATCAAAAACGACCTCGCCAGCCGCAACCCCACCTTCATGAACCTGGCCCTGCACTGCATCGCCAACGTGGGCAGCAGAGAGATGGCGGAGGCGTTCGCCTCGGAGATTCCCAGAGTCTTAGTGGCCGGGTTCGTTCTTAAACACGTTTTAGCTCCGAGCGGCTCAAAGTCCTTTAATATCAGTTTGTTTGTGTTGGTCATGAACCTGGTTCAGGGTCAGCTGTGGGCGCTCGTGAGAAATACGACGTCAATCATGTAGATTGTTGCAGCAGCGGTTTGTAAGGCACCAAATCCAACCTGACATTATCTGAGATTGACTGCTGTGGCCTGAAGCGCAGCGCCGTCGCTCATTACACATTAATAAAGCCGACCTCATTACACAGTGACGATCCACAGGCCAGTGTGTGGGTAACAGGCCGTGAAACAGATGAGCAGGCGGATGAATAACCACACACGCACATCTCCATCCTTCCAGTCATTACAGACAGCTGTCTCCTCACTCACAGCTGGAGTCAGCACTCGACCTCCATCCAGTAAAACGAGCGGCTGTTACGGGCCGTCGGCACTTTGGTAAACGTTTCCGGAAACAACCCTTAAAAGCGACGTTATAGATGAGGATTCGTGTTCAGACTGAAACGCACATGTTGATGTTCTGTTTGGGCCTCAGCCCACAGTCGACACTTAATCGGGGAACTAGTTCTTGGAGGAGGGATACTCTGACAGGGAAGTGGGGCCAGTGTGATGCAACAGAAATCTGTTACAAATCAAAGAACAGCAAAAAAATTGCAAACCTCCTTCTGGAAGCGACGGATCAGATTTTTACTGGGAACAAGCTCACGAGCGAACGATAAGAAAACAGCGATCGTGGTGCAACAGCTTAATGAAATAACACAGAGCTGGTGTGAACAGTGAGCAGACTGTAGGTCTAAGCCTGTGTAATCTGATGTAGTCTGATTACCAATGGGTAATGTGGGCGTGTCCTCGGCTGCTCGCTGCTGGTGTTCTTCCTGTTTGGTGAACTCGTGTCGCCGTTGCTTCTCTCAGGGACACGATGGACAGCGTGAAGCAGAGCGCAGCTCTGTGTCTGTTACGGCTCAACAGGACGTCGCCCGACCTCGTGCCCATGGGCGAATGGACCGCACGGGTCGTCCATCTGCTGAACGATCAGCACCTGGTGAGACTCCGCCTCCTCGTGGCGAGCTAAATACTTATATTTATCGTGAGAACGAGCTGATCGATGTGATGCCGTAGTTTAAACCCCGCCCTGAAACGCTGACTCTGCCTTCCTTTATTTCAGGGCGTGGTGACGGCAGCCACCAGCCTCATCACCACTCTGGCCCAGAAGAATCCGGATGACTTTAAGACCTCCGTGTCACTGGCGGTGGCCCGGCTCAGCAGGGTGGGTGTCCGTGTGACCCTCCGTGTCGCTCGGCTCAATCATAAACCAGCGGGGACGTTAATCTCCTTCCTGTTTGTTTAGATCGTGACGTCGGCGTCCATCGACCTGCAGGACTACACCTACTACTTTGTGGCTGCCCCGTGGCTGTCCGTCAAACTGCTGCGCCTGCTGCAGTGCTACCCTCCTCCAGGTACGGCGCACACGCGTTAGTCCACCACGAATAAGTAAAGGTCTGAGAGGCGTAACCGTGGCGACGGGGCTTGAAGCGTCTGGTTTTCTTTGCAGAGGACGCCGCTCTGAGAAGTCGTCTCACCGAGTGTTTAGAGACCATCCTCAATAAAGCCCAGGAACCTCCGAAGTCCAAGAAGGTCCAACACTCCAACGCCAAGAACGCCGTTCTGTTTGAAGCCATCGCCCTCATCATCCACCATGACAGGCAGGTCATACGCGCTTTGTTTATCCCCAAGTGTGGGGGAGAAAACAAAACATCCGTCAGTTTGCTTTTGCATGTGGGCGGGGCCAGTGCCTAGCACAGCTGTCATTGGGTGAGAGGCGGGAACACATGGGCTGGCCGCCAGTCTGTCGCAGGGAGGGCGCAGAGACAGACCCATCACCTGTGATCGAGACGAAATGTAACAGGAATCAGGTTTGTGTGTACAATGCAAGGCATTGCCATGGAAACCAGAACAAAGAGCTCAGTAAGTTCAAATTTAACTCAAACACAAAGTCAGTAAGTAATAAATTAAAAGTACTAATTTCAGTAAAATGTTAAAAAACAGAAAATATGAGCTCAGTAAGTTACACTGAAATATTTAACATTTTAAAATGTTCAAATTTAAATGTACAAAGTGAAAATATGCAAAAAGCTCAACGTGATGAAATCAGATTAAAAACAAACAAACATGAGATGATGTCAGAGGGCTGAGCGAGCAGCTGCTGTGCAGATGTGCTGCAGTGTAGAGGGGGGTTCCTGGGCCCGGCCCACGTTCCTGACACGCGTAGCTCCGGTCGTCCTCGGACGTCATCGTGTTCGGGTGTGGTATCTGAGCCTCACGCTTGTCCCCCGTTGTCTCCCAGCGAGCCCACCCTGTTGGTACGAGCCTGTAACCAGCTGGGCCAGTTCCTCCAGCACAGAGAAACCAACCTCCGTTACCTGGCGTTGGAGAGCATGTGCACGCTGGCCAGCTCCGAATTTTCCCACGAGGCCGTGAAGACGCACATGGAGACTGTGATCAACGCTCTGAAGGTGAGTCTCGCTCAGCTGGACGTCAGTCGTCCGTTCCTCCTCAACTTGGACGAAACTCAAAGGTTTGGTTCGGTTCAATCTTTGAACACTAAAAACTAGTCTTGCCAATAAGTCTGACCTTTACTTTGAAATTCACACTTGCTTCCTGGTGTGTGTCCCGTGCAGACGGAGAGAGATGTGAGTGTTCGCCAGCGCGCCGTGGATCTGCTCTACGCCATGTGCGACCGCAGCAACGCCAAGCAGATCGTGGCAGAGATGCTGAGCTACCTGGAGACCGCCGACTACTCCATCAGAGAGGAGATAGTGGGTCGTGATGTCAGCACGTTTCGCCGTTCGCTTTAAGTGGCGTGAGCGCTCGTCTTCAGCCTCTGGCTTCTCTTCCTCAGGTGCTCAAAGTGGCCATCCTGGCGGAGAAGTACGCCGTGGACTACACCTGGTACGTGGACACCATCCTGAACCTGATCCGCATCGCTGGGGACTACGTCAGCGAGGAGGTCTGGTACCGCGTCATCCAGATCGTCATAAACCGAGACGACGTCCAAGGTTACGCCGCCAAGACCGTGTTTGAGGTGAGCCTCGCTGCTGTCCCTGAACGCTACAGAGCTCACCGCTGTTTAAGACTTGTGCGGTGAATCTTTGTCGAGCTGGCGCCGCTGCCAGCTTCATGCTCACGCGCGGTGTATTTGACATGTGGTCACACAGGGATCCGACGGCACCGACCCGGCCAATCACAGTAGCTGCAGGCTGCACTGCTGTGACGTGTAGTTATATTTGCAGGGAGCAGCGTGTCGGGGTACGGCGCAGATTTAACTCGCACTTCTTTCCCAGCAGACACGTTCAGAGTGGCTTCAGTCTGTGATCATGTGATCAGGTTTTATTTTGCTGTGCGACACACACAATACGACCGACGGCGTTTAACTGGCTCGATCATTGAACACTGAGGTCCTCACGGAGGAAACGAGTGGGCTTAAAGCTCTTTGATTGGTCGGTTGGATGAAGGAATCCTTCATGAACGCAGCTGTGATCCTGAATGTGTCTCCGGCCCGTGTGACTGGTTCGTTTGTGTCTTCTACCGTCTCATGAAGTCACTTCCTCTCTGACCTGCAGGCGCTGCAAGCCCCCGCCTGCCACGAGAACCTGGTGAAGGTGGGCGGGTACATCCTGGGGGAGTTCGGTAACCTGATTGCTGGTGACTCGCGCTCCAGGTACAAACCACACCCACAGCTGATCATCACAGTCCAGGGGATGTTTGTCTGGTCTCGTTGTTATTTGAGATTTTTATTAGAAAGAATAATAAATCGTTTCTGAGCTCTTCTCTCATTCTGGACGATTTTGTGACAGAATAGGAAAAATGTGCCGGCAGACTTTAGGAAACGTGTCAGTAAAGCTGACGCGGCGCTGCTGAAGCTGACGGGACCGCTCGCAGGTTTCACCGCGACTCTGTCTCCTCTTCCTCAGCCCTCTGGTCCAGTTCAATCTCCTTCACTCCAAGTTCCACCTGTGCTCTGTGCCGACTCGGGCGCTGCTGCTGTCGGCGTACATCAAGTTCATCAACTTGTTTCCAGAAGTGAAAGCCACCATCCAGGACGTCCTGCGCTCCGACAGCCAGCTGCGCAACGCAGACGTGGAGCTTCAGCAGCGAGCCGTCGAGTACCTGAGGCTCAGCTGCATCGCCAGCACCGACATCCTGGTGCGTTAACCCCCGCAGCTATAAGACCCGCCGACGTGGCGACATCTGTCGTGAACTAGCACTGATGCTAACTGACTTCCTGTTTCTCTGCACAGGCCACCGTCCTGGAGGAAATGCCGCCGTTCCCGGAGAGGGAGTCCTCCATTCTGGCCAAGCTGAAGAAGAAGAAAGGACCCGGAAAACTGCCAGACATGGACGATAGTCGCCGCAGCGTCAACGGCAGCACGGAGCACAGCGAGAACACCGACACCACGAACAAGGTAACCACAGATGCAGAGCTGTGATTGGCTGCTGTGAAATCTGCCCATACCTGTTTAAAAGCCTGCAGCAGGTTGCTATTGCAGTCTGCGTGCGCAGGCTGCCTTTAGCAGCTCGTCCTTCATCTTCAAACTCTGTCCATCTTCTTCTTCACTGTTGGATGACCTTCTCCCTCCTGACAGGCCCCGCCCCTCCTCCTCTGATAGGAACACGGTGCTGTCAGCCTGACTTGGTAAACAGTAGCTGCACTGATGAGCGCGCTGCTCGATCAGCTGTGAATCGATTCATTGGTGAAAGCAGAGATTCAATCCTGGCAGGAGGGTGTAGTTCACACCTCCACCTGTTCTCACTTTGTTTGCTGGTATCTGTCTTCCAGAGCTCCACCCACTCTTTTACGGATGTCCTGAATCTAAACCCCGCCCCCTCATCAGGAGCCAATCTGCTCATCGACGTGTTTTCCGAGAGCTCCGCCCCCGCTGCAGCCACAGACGTATCGGAGGAGAACTTCCCCAGGTGGGGTTCAGCTGCAGTGACCTGCACTGATGTTTCTGTGAGTCTGTCTCGTCTCAGCGATGCTGCAGCGCGTTCAGGTTCAGCGTTGGTTCATGCACAGCTGTCTGAAGGCTGACCACTGCTGCAGCTTTGCAAACAGCCATGAACTTTGACCTTTCTCATGCTAACTGAGGCCTGTAGAGACCGAGACTGAGCTCTTGGGTTTACCGTGTGACCTCAGGGTGACCGTGTGTCGATGGAGGTGCTCACGCCGCTCTCACAGCGCTGCAGAGTCGTCCACGAGGATGCCCGTGTAACGTGACATAAAAGTGTCGTGTTGTGAGTGTTGTGTGAAGCAGGCAGGTTGCACGTGACCTCGGCTGTGTGTGTGAAGCTGTGTCACGCCTGCTGTTTGCACACCTTGAACCAGACGGTGTGAAACTCTCAACATACAAACTGCCGCAGGTTTCTTCGCAGTGCCGTGCATCCCGCTGCTGCAGAGAGCGGGATGCACGGCCTGACAGGAGGTTAGCCTCTGACATCACCGAATGCCGCGTTTACCTCTGTACGCCGTCGTTCCTCGTTGTTAGCGATGCGAGTCATTCCAGTGGCCGCTCTGAGATCTGCACAAGATGAAGTGAATGAACAGATCGCTAAACCTGTGGGCGTGGCCGAGCTTTACCGCCGTGCTCGGCCTCACGATGATGTCTCTTCTTCACACAGACGTTTCCTTTGTGTAACTGTCGTCACGTTTTCCTTCTTCCAGGTTTGTTTGTAAGAACAACGGCGTGATCTACGAGAACCAGCTGTTACAGATCGGGCTGAAGTCTGAGTACCGGCAGAACCTCGGTGAGCAGCCGCTCGTTAAATCGAGGTTTAAAAAGCACAACCTCCTCCTGCCAGACTCGGGCTAAAATCTCGTTATCTTTGTTTTTTCTGTGAAGCTTTGTTATTATTGCTGCCTGACTTTGACGGTCACCCTCGCAGGTCGCATGTATGTGTTCTACGGAAACAAGACGTCCACCCAGTTCCTCAGCTTCTCCTCCTCAGTGAGCAGCAGCGACGCGCTCAAGTCTCATATCCTTTCATGACAAACCTCGTAATTCTGCTTCAGCACAGCGAACCGGAGCACGAGGAGCTCCCACTTCAGCTCTGCACGACTCAGAAAACCACTCGGGGGCCGAGGCGGCGCTGGAGAGGGTTGGGAAACTTTAACATCATGACCCAGGTGGCGAGTACAGCCGAGCAGAGGCGACGAGACCCTCTTTAAATATTTATATTCTGTTTTCTACAGAAATGCATCCGATTCTTTAGCATCTCTGTGGGCGTGGTGTCCTGTGACGACCGCGCCCCCCTGAAACAAGTTCAGAAAAACAAAGGTCGGCCTCCAAAGTGTAGGAAAACCCAATCAGAGCAGATTCAAAATGCTGTGACATCAGAATATCTCCAGAGCGATCAAAGACGTCCCGGTGGGTGAAACTGACTGTGAGATACCCGCGAGTTGGACGTCATGTGCTCGCACGTTAAATCTTTGGTGCTAGTGTTTGTGTCGGGGGCCTGAACCGTAACGTCCTGAGTTTAAAAAGAATAAAATCCAGCTGAAAGTTTGAGTTTGATCACAGACGTGTGCACTCAGTAGTCGGAGAATAACCCCGTGAGTATCAGGAAGGCTCACTCAGAGGAGTTTGTGTCTCTGATGATGTGGACCTCTGTGACCTTCAGTAGAGTCCTTAACAGTCGCGTCCACAGCTGAACGTCCACTCGAAGGCGGTCGACCCCATGATAGAGGGCGGAGCTCAGATGCAGCAGATCCTGAACATCGAGTGTGTGTCAGACTTCAGCGATGCGCCGGTGCTCAACATCCAGTTCAGGTGTGTGTGTGTGTGTGTGTGTGTGTGTGTGTGTGTGTGTGTGCGTGTGTGCACAGGTATTAACATCTTCATGGGGACCAAAACTTGGTAGTTTACTATCCTCGTGGGGACCAAAATCCGGGTCCCAGGTGCTTAGGTTCAGGGTCAGGCATTCATTTTTGATGGGTAGGGTGGGGGCTAGGGAAAGCAATATGTCAATGAGATGTCCCCGCAAGGATATAAATACATACGTGTGTGTTTGTGTGCTCACTTCTGACTGCGTGTGTGTGCTCACGTTCAGGTATGGTGGGGCCCTGCAGAACATCGCTGTGAAGCTCCCCGTGATGCTCAACAAGTTCTTCCAGCCCACAGAGATGATGTCGCAGGACTTCTTCCAGCGCTGGAAGCAGCTCGGAGCGTAAGCGCAGCCTGACACCAAACATTTGTTCTGTTTTACGTCTGATCGATCTGAGAGAGCTCGAGTGTGTTTCTGTGAGGAGCTTTCAGGATTGGATAACGGGTCGGGGTTCAAACGGCTCACGTAGTAATCGAGGACTCGTTTCCTTCTGTTTGTCCGCAGTCCTCAGCAGGAGGTCCAGAAAATCTTCAAAGCCAAACACCCGATGGACACCGAGGTCGCCAAGGCCAAGGTAAAAAGACACAAATCACTTTGGCTGTAAACAAGTTTTTGTTCAGTTTTATTTCCGCAGCTAGAATCACAGCAGCCGCCCCCTCAGGCTGCTGCATGTCGTCAGGTGCAGTAAGATAACGAGCTGTTTGTGCTCAGGTGTCTGAAGTCTACTGACACCTAGTGGTCAGATGGAGTTTTGATGAGGATAAACTCCTCCTCTGACCCTCGGTTCAGGTGTGAGCCTGCAGATGAGCCACAGAGTTACACAGTAATATAGCTGTATTATAGCAGTAATCAGATTACAGCATACGCTCTTCAGCCTGTGGAGATCAGACAAACGTGATCAGGAATTTGCTGCACAAACGTCAAAGTTGAGGTCGGCACACAGGTAGCAGAGTGAGGCTGCGGCGTGGCGACCGCGAGGCTCGCGGGCGTGCAGAGACGCTGACCGAAGCGTCCACGTTTATTCCCACGGTGTGAATATGAAAATGTATTTTTCTCCAGATTTTAGGTTTCGGCGTCGCTCTGCTGGACGGCGTCGATCCCAATCCTGCGAACTTTGTCGGAGCGGGAGTCGTTCACACGAAGACCACTCAGGTGGGCTGCCTGCTCAGACTGGAGCCCAACGTGCAGGCTCAGGTAAACTCACAC